GATCTAGCAAGTGGCTGTGTGGGGGCTTAGTTGCGGCTGAGGTTAAACCACGACACTTGCAAAAGGAAAAGCAACACTATTTTTTTTGCACGTGTAATGACAGTACTGCACGTGAAATTGGAACAAAGAACCCTACCTACATTCACATTGGCTGAAGCCGAAAACAGCTTTTAAGTGTACTTCCGTCTGCATGCTGAACTTATCTAGGGTGACTACACAAACAACTCTATGGACAAATTACAGTAGAATCACAGTCTACCTAAAACCAAAGTTAAATAATGTTGTGATTCTTTTAGCTCTTTTACCTTTGTACGTGGCTTTAAGCAAGACAGAGTGCAAAACAGTCAGGATGCAATTGAAGGGGAAAGTGGAAGTCTACAGGTCAGGTTTCACACTAACACAGTGCCACGATACATTATAATAGTCCATAAATAATTTTTAAGTCTTAACATTATTTTCTAAGTGGCTGCAGTTCACTTGCCTTGCTCCTGAACGTGCTGCAGCTTCACAAGATTTTAGCTCTCCAAAACCAGCTTTTGGAGGCAATGGGCTGAGTGCCAGAATCTGTTCTGCTCAGGAAGGCTCCTTCATATTGGCCTAGTCTAGTACACGAGTCTGTCTGGCACAAGGGCAAAAAGAGTTGAATTTTATCAGTAAAAAAGAATCCATGCCTTATGTCTCAAACATCTGATACACATCTAAAACAGCGGATACAAACGCATGGATGATTGATTGATTAAAATATTCCTTCAGAAATCCCAGAAACAGGTCTATTCAAGCCATTCTGTAGGTTTACTTTATAACCTCTCAAAAGTAGATTCAAAGATATGTTCTGTACTGCTGTACCTTCAGTAATTGTGTGAAGATTTTTTTTCTGCATCAAAAAACCAAAGGCAGCCTTGTTACTGACAAAAATGTTTTAATTGTAACTTTAACTACCTCTGAAGTAGGCCAGACCACTAATATATTTAACTGCTATAATTATTATTAGGAGAAATTACCAAAAAGTAGGATTTGGTAATGAAGTTAGGCTAAAGCTGTTGTAAACAAAAATGGTGAGACTTTGTTTTAGTGTCTCACCAAGAAAGCTGTATGTCCGGCAGCATGACTGCCTACTACTACTGTGGCTTATTGGCCCTTACACAGTTAGTAGTGACCCGCTTTCTGCGCCTGGAAACTGCCAGAATCCTGCTGCAGCGTCTCCAGGCACAGGGAACACGAGGGCCGAGGGGGACTGCGCCTCGCTGCCCGGTCACCTTCCAGCACCAGAACAGCCACTCGGCACCGCCACACTCTGACTCAGGGAATCACGGAAGAGGTTTCCTCTGCTTCCACAAAAAGCCTCAGCCGTATTCAAAACCACCACCCATAAACAGTTGAAGTTCTTTCACTGATAATTACTTCACATTAAGGAAAAAGCAACTTTCAGCATTCATCTTATACTGCCTCTCACACACTGGGAATTACTTTCTTACTGTTTCTGCAAGTTCTTGCATTTTTTTCTGTTGCACCAGCAGAAGCGCCATTGCCTGCTGTACAGAATATTAGTACAGGTGTTAGTTCCCCTTTAGAGGAAGGAATGCACACATTATTTTTATCTAAAGGGATGAGTTATGCCAACTTTCTTACTACCACGATGCCTAGCACTTGCACAGGAGAGGAAAAATAATTTGCTAAAATACATCCCCATCTGAGAAGAGCTCAGCTTGCTGCACTGTATTATTACTACTCTAAAGGAAGTGAAATCATAGAATATTTCAAGTTGGAAGGGACCCACAAGGATCATCGAGTCCAACTCACCCTGCCATCACTTAAAAAAAAAAAAAAAAAGCTTGAAGACAATGCTCTTTCAAGTTTGGCTGAAATTGGCCCATGGCTTTTGGCAAAGGAGAGGGCACAGCAGATAGACCACGCAGAAAGCCTCAATTCCTTCAAGAAAAGGATTTGAAAAAGCTCCATAATTCGTCAGTCAGAATTTCCTTTGGTGCAAGCAGAGCAAAGAAGTGCAGCTTCTGTCAAGGCTTCTTACGAACCTGCTCAGGAAAGGAAAGCAGGTGGAGGCAGACAGAGGAAAAAAGTGCAGTGGAAGGTATATCTGTCACAACACATATGCCATGTCTGTATTAATAGTTTTGAAAAGCTGGTCGCACTCCCTGACCTGTCAATGACTGCAAAATTTTGCAGTCCTGTTTTTAGTGGAGGTTTAGAGTATCAACTTAGATGGAATAGTTTAAAAGGTAAACCTTGTTTCAACAGTTAAACGACATTCCTTAGCTGCCAAAGTAATGAAAAGCTCTCTCTTTTGCATTTCATGAACTAAAGAGGCAAGAAAAAGAGCTTTTCATAGCAATTATTAGGAACAAATGAGGAATGGCTACAAAGAAAACAGAGCAGAGGGAATTTTAAATGATAAGGACCTTTAACACAGTAGTTTTTGTATTTAAGATCAAAAGGCAGACAAGTTTCACACATACCTCTAAGAGGCAATAAAGAAAGCAATTAAGAGCTCGATGAAAATAAATAAACCAAAAAGGGCAGTGATACTTTATACTCTTTCATACTTCAAAGGGAGAGAAAACAGAACCTTACTTTTAACAGCCATCTCTGCTCTACCATAGTAAACTCAATTTAAAGGAAAGATGAAAATTGGACAAACCACTGGAAAACTCAATACAAGTAAGAGGCTTTAAAACCGGTGTGGACTGTCATACAAAATACACTATAAAGAAACTGACCAGGAAAAAATAAGAACAAAGGTCTTCCACAATTATCTACATTTCAAATTCTACCATTCAAGCTAATACAGGGTGTTGTAAAGATGACAGACTCTGTGGAGAGGAGCAGACAGGCACCACCA